GAGTTGCGTATCCGGCAAATTTGCGAACAAAATCTTGAAGTGTAGTGTGTTCATATTCTTTTTATTATCAGAGTGCGCCAGTAATTGAAGAGTGTTTTGGATTTGATGCTAGTACCTTTAGTGGATAAGTTTAGCTGAAAGTTATAATTAAACAGGCTGGATGGTAAACATGTGGTGTTCGGCAAAGTTTTGGATGGGATGGACGTTGTAGAAGCGATTGAGAAGCAGGGTTCTCACACTGGAAGGCCAACTACGTCAGTTGTGATTCGTGATTGCGGAGAATTGAAAGTTGAAACTTGAAACTGGTTTGGTTCCAGTAACTATTTCTGTTTTTTAGATGTCTAGAATCCTGCTAGTGGTGCCGTAAGCTTCTTATGCTTTCATTGTTTCAGTGCACAATTTCATCGTGATTATTAGTTGTTGTTGTAGTTTCAAACAATTTCTTTTAGATAAATGCATTTTCTTCCGATTTGATGTTAAACTTTGTTATTCTGTTTTATACAGTTAAGTAAATCTACTGTATGTTGCTGAAATTGATTGCTGTTTATCTTCATTTGCTTTAAAAACGATAAATTTAAAATACATATTTTCTACCTGTAGAAGAAGTTTTGATACCATGCTTGCACCATTATCTATATTAGTTTTCATGCGTACTTAAAGGGAAGAATTTTTGAATTTAGGGTTATAGTGTGTTGGGAAGCATTGTTTCCTATTTTTAGAGTCATGACTCTGGATGCTTCAAACCAAAAGCGCATTAAAGAAGCGTTGGAATGTGTTAAAAGAGCTGAGGAACAGTGAGTTTCTGTTCAGTAATTCCATACTGTTTTGTCGTGAGAATTGAAGGGGGTAGAAGTAAGGTTTTTTTTAGAGGGCGTGTACGTGATAGGTTGTAGTTGTCAAACGGCAGGTAAAAGGTACTTTTTTTTTAATTGCAGTTGACTGCTTGAGTCACTTTTTTAAGCCTGAAGACTTCCATTATTAAACTGAAGCTGGAACCAAATTATGACGGGGCTGCGGTGGAATATGAACGAGCGGCAGTTTGTTACAGAAACGCTAGCGATTTTCGTTCCTCTTCTCAGTGTTATCTGAAAGCGGCAGAAATGCATTTTTCACATGGAAATGTCTTTCATTCCGCAAAGTATATCTGCTTATGAATTTTTCCAAATGTAATATTTAGTTCTTTACATTATGATGTAGCATTAACCACTTGCTTAAAATTACATCTTTTTCAGGAATCTCGAAAATGCAGTGTCACTATTCAAAGAGTTAGGAGATAATGAAAGTGCTGCAAAGTACATGGAGATTGCTGTAGAAAGATATACTGAGGCCGGAACATTGGACACAGCTGCTATGGCTCTTGACAAGGCTGCTAAGCTGTTTGAAACATCCGACCCTGAGAAGGCTATTAATGTATTTGATATAAAGTATATAAGTGTTAATAGTAGAAGCATGAATATCTAATTGATCTTACAGAGGACCAGCCATATGAAGTATAACCTTTTTTAAGCAAGGGCTTACACCTTTAAATTCCCGTTATCAGATAATCAAAACACTATTTGTCTTTCCTGGTGGAAATGACAAATTTTTTGAATTATATCTTAGTATAGTTATCTATGCTTAAACGGGAAGGACCTGTTCGTGCTGATCGTAAGAGTCTGATGTTTAAAACTTGAAGACCAATCTAGAATTTCAACATTTGCTTTCTTCATCATTGCTTCTCTGCAACTAGTTTTCATAACTTTTAATAAGGCGATTTCACATAAGTTTGGAAAGTTTGTATTTTATTCTGGAGGAAGATAATCGTTGCCACGAACTGATAATATCGAGTAATTTTTTCACATACTGTTTTCGAGTTGGTTGCTTTTTATGCATTTAGAAAGGGTCAGATTTAAAATCTTAATTGTTCATGCGAGATGCAATATTTGAGCCATATTTGCAAGTTGTCTCCTAGAGTTGAGTAGTAGTGACTTTAACGTTTTTTTCGCAATTTAACCGGCAGAAACAGCTTTTAATGGAAGACTTTCTGTGATGTCACTCAAAGGTTTCTTTGGTCAAATCGCACTTATTTCTCCGGTCATCAGAAGCTTGTTGAGAAATTAATAGTCAGAATAAATCTGATCCATCACTTGAGGAAAATCAGCTCTAGCGTAATTTAAGGAATGCTTCATTTTTCTTGTCCTGTATGTGCGTAGCTATTCTAAGGCATATCTCACACTTTTGGAACTTGATGTCTCGATCTCTGAAGATTTTACTGTTTAGTTGGTTTTAATTTGTTGAAAAGAAAACTGAAAGAAGAACTTAAAAAGCGCATTTTCCACCGAAGCATCGGGTTCTAAACGCGTTTAAAATAGCGTTTGTTTCCTAGTTCCGGCTTGAAAGCGTTTTAAAAGCGTTTGTTCCCTATTTTTGCCTTTTAAAACACATTCAGTTATAATTCCTAACTTTTTTTTAGAACAGAAAAGAATTTTGGCTGTACTGTTGTAGGCTGTAGCTTTTTTTGTAGCGTGAAAAACTTGTCTGAAATTTTAGTTTTACAAAAAAGCTATTGAAATGGTCGTGCAAAGTGATCACGCGCGAATGGTGGACGATTTTTTAACGAGACTCACTCGATTACATTTGTCTTTGCAGCACTATAAGGAGGCAGCAGAAACTATTGGTACTGCTATGGATAATTATATGGCTTTAAAGGTGATCGAGTTTAAGCATTCGCTGTGTTTAAAGGGAATACGATCAATTAGAAATATTTATGAAAAGACACTTATTGGAACTTATTCGGTACTTCATAAAATTTATGCAGTGTACCACTGAAATTTTTTGATGTTTTGTTGTCTCCCTGAGCGAGGTTTTTTTAGGCTAAGAAAAGTTTGTCTATGAACATTTTTTTAGGAAGTTGGAAAAGTACATCAGTTGGGGTTATGCGGGGTGTTAGTGCAGTTGGCACGTG